CTGCCATTTCTGTCTCATGGCCAACTTTTCAGATGTAAGTTACTCCTCTTCCGGCTATACAGCTGTCTATCTTATAAAAGCAAATTCCCATGACTAAGTTATGCAAATATTACTTAGGTTGGTGCCTGCTTCAGTTCTTGGCTGTATCCATTCTGTTGCAGTTTGTGCTAGTGTTGGATTTCTCCTTGCATTCAGGCTTTTGAACATCATATGATAAGGCAGACAGTAGGTAAGCCGATCCCCTTCAGGCTTTCAGCCCTCTCTGCCAGTAAAAGCTGCCAAGACACTGCCTTATCTGGCCTGCGTATTTGCTGAACAAACTCAGTGATGTTCTTGTGAAAAAATAAAGATGAGATGCACTGTCTTCTGCAATTTTACCCACACAGCATTTTGTTAAAATCTAATGCTAAGCTTCAAAGGGATAGCACTGTGGACACGTCAGGCAGATCTTTACTGCAGGATTAGCCTCAAAGGTAAGCATGCTTGGGTTCCTGCTGAGGTCCCTCACCTCAGCAGGGACCCTTTGAGAAGAATTCCTCTGGAGGAGCTTTTCACTGGTGTGATCCAGTGATTCATCTGCCTCAAAGAAGTGGTTTGAAGGAGCTGCAGTAGATGCCACGTGTTCACTGGCTTTCTGCTTTCCTGAAAGCATGCAGTAGCAGTGATGAGAAAGAGGAGGAAGAGCGATGTTGATGATAGTGCAAAGGCAGCCCTATGTCAGGGGAACGGTCTGTTGGCCCTTGTCCAAGCCCCTTAAAAACCTGGACTTGGCATTGCTGAATTGTAATTCGAATAGGGATTTTCACTCAGCTCCTTCCGTTTTGTTTTGTTTAGAAGTATTGATCTGCAAAACATAGTAAGAGGATAATGCATGTGTTACAATTAAGGTAGCAATGAAATATATCACAGGATGTAACCTCTAGATATTTGGGGTTTAAACTTCTAATGCCCCTAGCCAAGATGGCCAGTGGTGAGTGATTATGGGAGTTGTAGGCAAAACATCTGGAGTACCACAAAGGTGCCCACACCTGGTGTGCATCCTTGAGTGGGAGCTGCCAGACATCAGCTGTTGTGCAACATAAGATTCCAGCTCTGTTTGTATGAGTGCCACACATATTATTGGTTACATACGGATTGGGCCAGAATTTCCAGTTGGGTGTGGATGCCTGTGCGTTTGCTTTGGTACATACTTGTGCAACATAAATGTTTCCATCAGCAATCATGATGGATGGAGCTATCCCCATCTATGAATTTGGCTTGATTGAGGTTTATCAGGCTGTGAGCAGTATCCAGTGGCATCATTCTGCAATCTCAAATAGCACTAATGGAGCCCTTTCTGTTACGCAACTGTTGCACAAAAGTGGGCGCACACTTTCTTTTGTGCAAAGCTAACTTCAGTTGGATTCTTCAAACAGAACTTTAGTTGGATTGTTACTCATTGTTTGGATCCTCCTTTCTGCCAGCAGAATGTTATTTGTGTTCATGAAATAACAGTTTCATGTTGTCCTGTAGTTCCAGCATTAGGACATCTTTTGCTGCCAGTTATCCAATCTACTGTGGGTCACTTGCAAGGAAAAAAAGGTGGGATATAAATGTAATGCAGTAATAATAATTTAGCCTTCCCCAGCATGATGTACTTCAGATGTTTTGAGATACAATGCCAAGTATTCCTGACCATTGGCTATGCAGGCTAGGACTGATGAGCCAAAATGTCTCAAGGATACCACATGGGATGGCAGCTATACCAGATTAATACACTTCAAACAAAGAGTACAACAGATACTGTTCTAGACTGGGTTCCAGTTTGATTTTGTACTAATGGGTATTAATAAGGGGAAATACTTGGATCCATTTTTATCAATCAATCATGAAATCAGAATATAATGTAAGTTAAAATAATAACACAAAGAAAGTATTAATAAAGGGGAATACTCAGATCTATTTTTATCAGTCAGTCGGTCAATCAATCAATGAAGACCTCAAAATATAAAACCTGTAAGTTAAAATAATAGTATGAAGAAATGTGTAAGATTTCAAGAACAAAGACTGAAGTCTTTGAATACAGGAAATGTTTAGGAAATTTATTGTTTTAAACAATTATTTCCTAAACATTTCCTGTTATCAAAGTTTCCAGTATTAATCCAAAAGGAGAACTTTTATCTAAGTGCCAAGTTTCTTTTTCAGCTGTGTTCTGTTTGGCGGTACATGGTTCTGGTGAACTTCCAGATAAAAAAGCTAATATGCCCACATTATTAGAGCAAATTTACAGGCAGTCTCTGGGTTATGAGAAAACAGAAATTCATCCTTAAGTCAATTTTTTTGTGAGTTGGATCACGTATAGTTAACCCTCCACATTGATTGGGGTTAGGGACGCAGGACCCCCATGAAAGTGGAAAAATGATGAATATCTCTAGCACCCTCCCCTTCCCAAACTCGCCAGGGCCGCCTCTGTGCAGCGAGGAATCACCGGAGTGGTGGTGATTTTATGTAGTTTTTAAAATTAACTGGCTTTATGGCAGTTTGTTCATAAGTACGGGTAACTCAGATGTTCTTAACCCAAGGACTGCCTGTAGTTGATTGTTCCTCATTATCTACAACCCTGTAAATTTTAGTTTGGAGTTTTAAATCTTTAAAAATATCTTATGAGAAAAAAACACAGAAAGAGGCATAAACATATATCTTTCAAGCTAGAGAAGATTGAGTCTGAATTGTGTCTTTGGAAGACAATTCCTAACAGAAAAAGTTAAACCCAAGAGTATGGAGGGTATGAATTTTCTAGATGTCTGTATATTAGTTTTACAATGTTTAGACCACATGCAATATATATTGCCCATTAATTAATGACTGTTAAGCAAAAACTCTACATATACCCTTGCCTTGAATAATATAATAATAAAGTTTTACATTTAGAAACATTTCTAGTTATATTGACATCAGACTTTAGGCTTTACAACTCTCTGGCTTCAAATAATCCTTGACATAACCAAAGGGTTTTTAACTCTGCATTCTCTCTTTGGATTATCTCTCTTTAGACCACTTTGACAATTGGTACTTAAAATCACTTACCAAGAATTCATTGTGACCATGCCTCATTCTTTGTATCTTCCATTTACTGCAATCATATTTTTACTTATTTTGCATCTCCAATGACTGGTATAGTTTTCTGAAGTTGAATATAATATCTTTGCCCCAGTGCAGTACCAGTCCAGAATGCTTTGTCACTATGTGTATGATCCAAGAGGTGTATTCCAAAAATCCTTGCAGTGCTGCAGAGGATGCTGGGGAATACCTCTTCCAGACTGCATTGGTGTCCTTATCAATATAAGCAGTCCAAACCATACTGCCAAAGCCAGGGAAGACCATGCTTGCCATACCAGAAACCAGAACTGGAGAGTGTGTTCTCCCAAGATTATTGGCATTTCATTGTGGGAGTTGCAGGCTGGAGCCTGGCATGCAGCAGGCCAGGGTAGTAGGTGGGGCTACACAGCAGATCACTCTTGGCCACTGCAGAGGTGCTGGGCTTCCTGCCAGTCACAGGAGATGCCGTTGCATGCCTCTGCTCCATTCCATGCCAAGGGATGATCCTGAAGCAGGCAGAGGCCCGAGCACACAAAAGTCCTTCGTGGCTTACCGGACCGAGAGGTTCCCAGCTCAGGCTTTGATATGCCTGGCACACATTTAGTCTCTTGAATGTGTTGGGCCCAGTTTCTGTGCAGTTGGTAGAAGGGACAGGAGGTGAGGCGAGGTGAGTCAGGGCAAGGCAGAAATGAAGGCTGTCACAGGGAATACAAGTGTTTCACCTGTCTTTTATGAGACTGCACAGTAAGTTGGAATGGAAATTTCAAATGTGTTTCTTTCTAGTGATTTGGTTCCTTTAGTCTGGGTTTTATTGTGGAAAAGAGGAAGGAGGTGGTTTAAGGTGATGATAACTTAATCAGAAAAAAGTTAATGATAATATAATGACATTGAATGCTAAAGCTTAGTCAAGCTCATTTGGGGAAAAGTAGGATAACACAATAGACAATGCATCAAATATAGTTATCTTTTTTATTTCTGCAAAATCATAATGGTGACCTGCCTTTGGCAGTTTTCCTTCCACATATTTCCACTGATCTCCTTGGAATGACTGGTTGAAATGGAAGTCATTCCTTTGCTGTGCTGATGCTAGACTACATTTCTTGTAGGGCTGCCCTTGATATTGTTTAGAGGCTGGAGGAGGAAAAACCATAGCCGAGTGATGTACAGCGCATGTTCTACAAAGAGAAGATCTGAGGTTCAGTCCTCTGGTATCCCCAGTTTAAAAGAATCAGGTTTTGCCAGCCAAGAATACACAATTCCTAGTCTGATGGATCAATTGTCTGACTTGCTTGTTTGCAAAATATTTCAGTTATAGCAAAATGCTGCATCCTGCTGTCTGATGGGGTTGATCGTAGGGAGCATGTTACAGTGTGTGGACAAGTTTTCACTTGCTTTTTTGGTCTAATCCAAGGTGATATCCATGAACTACTAAGTCCTAACAGACTTGGAACCAGCCTATCTTGGAGACAGCCTCTATCACTATGTTATGTCATTATCTTTAAAGTCATCTGGAAATACCCTCTCAAGCTTGTGTTGTGCAGACCACGGGGAACAAAATTCCTGCTTCCCAAGAATTTTCTCCCATTAAGTCTGGAATTTTCTCCCATAGTGTAAGAACTTTTAATTTGGTTTGGCTTTTTGTGCCCAGGAATAAGGTAAGATAGTGAAAGAGGAAATTCTGTTGATGTAATTGGGAATTCTGCAAATGACATTGGATCACATGCCATGTTAATCTAAGCCCTGTTCATTTCGTTGAGTCTACAAGTAGAACAAAGACTGGATACACCCCACTGTTATCTGCCCTTGGGCACAGCAAGCTTTTGGTATGTGTGTGTGTTTTAATGAAAGAAACTTGTGCTTATGTTCACATAAGATCACATAAAGTCTTGAATGTTACATACTTCTCTCTGCTTCTTCCTTAGATTGATAAATATCTGTATGCCATGCGACTCTCTGATGAAACTCTGATTGATATCATGGGTCGCTTCAGGCGAGAGATGAAGAATGGACTCTCTAGGGATTTTAACCCAACAGCCACTGTCAAAATGCTTCCTACATTTGTAAGGTCTATTCCTGATGGGTCAGGTAAGGATTTCATCTCACCTGGTACACTGCTGTAATTTGTTAATATGTGCTCAGAAAGAAACAAATCCCATATTATTACTTCCAACACAGTGAGAGCCATGGACTACATGCGTATGCATGAAGAGGACCAAGTGTGAACAAAACCATAAGAAACAATTGGTGATATCTGTAGTAAAGAGAAAAACTCGGTTTTCTTTAGAACAAACCTCAGTCTAGTTCCCACTGAAGTAAGTGGCAAAGATATTTGGCTCTTGTTTTCTTGGGAACAAAGGGATTCATTGTACAAAGGTAACTAGAAGACAGAGGATTTAAAAACACACACACCACAATGTTCAGTGCAGTCACAAGGTAAAGAAAGTCCTGGCAAGTGAAAAACTGCAGTGACAAGTATTAATGCGATTTTTTTAACAGGGACGATATTTTGTGCTTGTTTGGCCTCCCTCAGAGTTCTGCACAAGCCAAGAAGACTTCAGAGAAAAGGCTTCTTCCTGTCAGTAGTAACTGGTGATATGTGAACTGGTGATATATCCAGTTTGGGGGTGGGAATCTGTTGGATCTTCTGGCATGGATTCCCGGAGTCCAGCCCGCTTTCTTTCTGCACTCTTTCTGCATTCACTTGGCAAAAAATGAGTGCAAATGCATCTGTGAGACCAGCCTGCACATGCCCTGCCAATATGCCTGCAAAGACTTTTTGTCTATGCACAAAAAAATTACATACTTTGCACAAAGAAACCACTAGTGTTCTTGAGTGTGCACAGACATTACATTACTCCTGGTCAGAATTGAGCACAAGAAAAGAGTCTGGCGAGGACAAGAGAGCCAGATTCTGGCTGAACTTCACATCCCTTGTAGTAACTGGGACTTTTAGTGGTTTGTTGATAAAGCAACTATATACTACCCTTTTATTTCATTCCAGGAACAACAGTTTATTATGGCACAATAAGTAACTAAACCTTAATTGCAGGTAATGCAATGCTTGCTTTCTGCTGTAAATTCTTGAGTCATGATTGGGGACTGCCCTGTTGGACCATACACTGGTGCACACTTTGCTGTGCAAAACTTGATGGAAAGAGGGCTTAAAAGGTGGCTTTTGATTATAGCTTGTATCTGAAGCTGTAATAAATATCAGTCATTTTGGATTCTTTTTTAGCAAAATCCCTGTGCCTTTCTATCTTTCAATAAGAATAGCAGGTAACTGCAGCTGAGGAGGTTCAGTTCAGACTATTACCAGTGTGTCCTTCAGATTGGGATCTTCCATCATACTGGTGGGATCTGAACTTATCCATGCGGAAGTAAATTGAAACCTGCCTTAATGGCTGTGTACTGAAATGCTTCCACTGTTGTTAGGCTCACAGCATTTCATCTACACTGGTGCAGGGTCAAAAAAAGTCTTAAGAGCAATGCTGTTGACTTGTGGCGATAAGAGTAGCATGACTTTGCTTTAAGACTCAGTGCGTGCATAACGGCAGGAAGCCAAATGTTCTAAAGCAAATTTTCATAACCTCATGACCTCCAGAAGTCTGTAAGGGGAGCATCAGCTGGGGAAAGGCTGAACAAATATAATTAAGACATACTCTTTTAATTTTTGTGTTATTAATCATAAACATATCATTTAGTAGCGAGATTCAAAGGTTTCAGAATGTTAATCCTGAGTTGACTCGTTTGAAAAGTGCATGACTCTTGACAGTAATGTCCATGTCTTGGGCTAATTGACATTTGTTGACATGTAGAGCTTTAAAAATTAACTTTGTACCTGTTAAGAGTAGTTTTAGAAAGGATTGAGGAAGAACTTCAGTCTGATCTAGCTTATGCCAAGGCTGATAAGAAGGGGAAATAGGGCCATTTTACAAACCTTGGTGAAAGACTTGATCCCCCGTTCCATTTTCCTGGTATGTCATGTCTTTTAGATTGTGATCTTGTGCACAGGGACTGGCTTTTTTATTGGTTAGTTGTTAATCCCTGGGAGCTCTTTTGACTAAGGAACAGGCTGAGTCATTAACTATAAATGACTAACTGTACATTTAATCCTGGAATTTTGTATATAACTTGATGAAAAAGCATAAGAATGCATGTACATGTAGCAGCATACCATGGCTTCTCAATTTGTACGCAGACAACTGGGAACCTTGATCATGTATATCCCTCTCGCCTTTCCTTGCCCTTTTCCTTTTTGCATGCTGTTAACCCTAACTTGCAAGTTTTTGAGGAGCTATAGTTGGTGCTGTTCCTGGATACAGCAAACTATAGCATCTGTGCAAATCCAAATTACAGACCAGGAGCTTGGAGGCTGCAGCGTCCAACAGAAGCAGGAGGAAAGTACATCGGAGCTCCAGCCTGAACACATCATAACATCATGTCAAGGAGTTACGCCTCTTTAAGTGCCTTGTTGACTGGGGCACTGATTTCAGTTTGCAGAAAGTGTGTTAATTCGCTGCATATTACCAGAGTGCCTATTTCTGAAGTGCATCATTTATTTGAATTATATTCCAAGCTTCATTTACTCTGGGTACAGGGTAGCTAGGGGGAAGCCATCTGTTCTAGTGTTTGCTTTCTGTTATTTTTTAATTTTTAGGGTAATAGATTTAAGCAAGCAATGGCCTATAATGACAAAATGGGTTTGTTCATTTGTGTTAATGTTAGGTACTTGTACTCAGCAATGACATTTTAATTGTTTTTATCCAGAGAACATTATAAAAAATGCATTCAGGTTTGGAGTCTTGCCAGTCCAAGATATTTTCTTGCCCCAAATGTTGCCATGGACAGTTGGAGAGATTTATTTATTTCATTTATGGTCTGCCTTTTACTTCTTCCAAAGAACCCAAGATAACAATATATAAGGACCTCCTCATCTCCTGTGAAGTAGGTTAGGATGAGTTTCTGTGGCTGACCTGGAGTTACCCAGTGAGATGCATGACCAGATGGGAACTAGAATCCAGTCCCAGTCCAACGCTTAACTACAGCACTGTACTGATTCACTGTGGACCGTGATGTGCAAGGTTACAAAGGGTGGGGGTACATTTCTTTTTGCAGATACGAACATAAATTAAAAACTATGGTCTTGCAAGGGACTATGGGTTGCATCTTCCAAATCCAGTACGGCTTCATTGATGCTCCTGAAAATAGCATGTTATTAACAGTTATTTTACTTTATTTTACTTATTATATTTCTTATCCAAATTTAAACATGGCTTTTTCACAGAGGTGCAAACATGAAAGAGAGTTGCATCAAAACAACAATGAGTATGAACAATGAAGACTGCAGAGTACAAATGATCAGTGGTAAAATTGCACGCTCTGCAGTGTGCTATAAACCCTGTCTGACTTGATCACAACTCAGGGAGAGCCTGTGTGAGAAGATGAGTTTTAAGGGAACATCTGAATGTCAGAAGAGTAGGGGCTGGTGTTGTGACCGTTCTTAAAGTGTTTCAGGGGATAGCTGTGGTGTTCGACTGCGAGTGATCCTGCAGCAAACCTCAGAAACAAGTGGCGCCCTCAGAAGTGTTCCCTCCACTGATTGGCAGGGACATAAAGGGTCAAGTGCTCCCTAAGATAGCCTGGTCCCAAGTGGTTAATGGCTTTATGTATTTACAAGAACACCTTCAACTTGGCCTGGTAGCTTATGGGCAGCCAGTGCAGTTCTTCTAGAAGGATGTAGCTTGTTGTTGAAAGGAGGCCCCCGTTGCCTTTCTACTGCTTGCTTACACCAGCTGCAACTTCCTGACCAGGCTTAAGGGCAAGACCATTCAAATCATATGACAGTAATTTGGCTTTTAGCTTACCAATGTCTATATGCCATGACTGAGCTGTCATGGTCCAAGAAAGGCCACAGTTAGCATACCAGCTGAAGCTGGTAAAAATTTCTTGGCAGATGCTGAGGCCACCTGAACCTCAAGTGACGATGAGAAGTCCAGGAGTACCCCAAATCACTTGTTCCTTCAGGGGAAGTGTAGCCCTGGTCAGATGACTGGCTGTTTTCAATGGTTTCATGCAGATGTTGAGTAGCACTGGAGATAAAATAGTGTTCCACCGCACAGGTATCGGGTTGAGGCACACTCCCACAATACCAGTCCCTGGGACTAGAGCTTGGCTGTGTAGGTTTGGTGGCTTCTAAATGATCCTCTTTTGCACCATGAGTGGTAGCAATAAATGTGGCTTTCCAGATTGAGTTATTTGTCCCTGCCTTTTCTTGCATAAACTCATCCAAGCTGATACGACTGCTCAGTTTGTGAATCTGACAAGATGAGGAGCAAGCGTTTGGACTAGAGTGGTCGTAAGAGTTGCAAATGCATAGCACTGCTTGGGGTTGTTCTTCAAGGCCTCTTTGGCTCTTAATATTATGGGAGCTGCTGCATTTCTCTCATATGTTAACACTAGTTGATAGTGGCTTTATGGATTGATGGACCTTGACCAGTGATTGCTGACAGACAGAACCTAGAAATGGCTGTGGTGAACAGCTTCTTCAGTTACTATTTGATCTCTGGGACTGTATCCAGAGTGAGATGGGATGCAGCTTGTGGATTTCTGGGTTCCTTCTTCAGCTCCTCCTACCGTGGTGAGGATGACAAAGGCGTAGGTGGGGTGAGGTGAGGTAGATCTGTCAGCTGCTTAGCTGAGTGAGCAAGCTTGATTCAGAGACTTTTGTGGGGCTTCAAGAATGGAGAATCTGCTGAATTCTCCTGGCCTCTGGGTGTGAAGAGGCTTCATAGCTGGTCTCACTACTGTTACTTCTTTAGCCTGCACTGGCTCACAGGTTGAATACTCAGTGATAAATCTTGAGATGCACACTGGACGTCCAAACTTAGGTGCTTCCTTGGCATTAGTGTGCATTTTGGGGGGCTTCCCTCTGGGGTCAAATAAGGGGAGGCTATTTTTATTGGGGGTAGAAAAGAATTAATGCACTTTCTGTCTATTAGTGCAGCTTCCCTGATCTTGTACCATCCAGATAGTGTGTGCTAGAACACCCATCATCAAGGACCAGTTGCCTTACTAGCTTCCCTTACTAAGGGAATTGTGCCTTCCATGTAACCTGGGCTCCCAGGTTGAAGAACGCTGCCATGAGGGAATTGTCAGAGCTGCTGTTGCTAAAACCTTAACACATACTTGCAGCTGTCAAGATGTGCTTAACATCATGTGTAGGACTGTATGCCCAAGGCCTGATAATACCTTTGATCCTCCTGGTCCAGTCATTAGTTCCTACCTTTGTCATAATTGACCCAGAAGAAGACAGATGAGAATAAGAAATTTGCTGCTGAGTTTTTTAAAGGATGAGATTGGAGTATTATTGGAAGATAATATCATTGAGAACAAGCAAAATACCTTTAAAAAATGGGAAGAAATGTCTGGGAAACCTACGTATGCTCAGTGCTTGATATTTCAAGTGGGTGTGAGATAATTGGGCAAAGCTGCTCTGTTAGAGGAAGAAAATAACTTTTTGTCAGGATTGTTGAATAGGGATCAGCCTTTCCCAACCTAGCACCATCTGGATGTTTCGTCCTACAAGTTCCAACATTCCTGACCATTAGACATGCTGGCTGGGGTTGATGGAGTTGAACTCCAAAGCATTTGTTTAGGAGAGGCTGAGTTAGGCAGTCTCAAATAGAGAATGTATGGTAGATGAACCAGTGTGATATTTTTGCAGTGCTGAATCTTGCATATTGCCCACCCTTCTTCTAAACCTTCCTGAATGCTTAGAAATCAACAAAGAATTGATATGTAATGAAATGCCCTATTCAGAGGTCAACTGTGGTGAACTGACACAGCACCTGGAAAGTAGATGCTGAAGATAAAAATGAGAGTGTGTGTATTTGCACCTGATCTTCAATATTTGTCTAGTTCTGTATACACACCACATTTTATCTCGTTCCAAAGACTGTGTTACTTGGTAATCTGTCTCTAAACAAATAAGAATTGCTGTCTTTGTCTGTCTGATTAGATAGGATGAGGCAAAAGCCTACACTTGGGTTGATCAAATATGTTTCCAATGTCAAAAGGAAGTGCTGATAGTACAACTTTCAGTGCTGCCTCTGTGATTTTATTTAGTGAACAGGGAAGATTTTTTAAGTGTCAATGACACCACCCTTAAGTATTATCATGTTTGTTTCTTCACAGAGAAAGGTGATTTCATTGCCCTGGATCTTGGTGGATCTTTCTTTCGTATTTTGCGAGTAAAAGTCTCCCATGAGAAAAGGCAAACAGTTCAAATGGAAACAGAGATTTATAACACTCCAGAAGATATAATGCATGGCAGTGGAACACGGGTAAGGGTCTTCTTTTAAGTGGTATATGAGCTTTTTAAAAATGTATTGTTGACTAAACCACAATTGCTCTTGGATTTTCTAAATCATAAAAATAATTCCCTGTTAAGTTAGAAAGCATAGTTTGATATCAAGTTCTCTGTGTTGATTTCTTGCGGGGAAGAATGCAGAATGCTAGGTTTTATTATGAAAATAGGTATCTTGTGATCATTTCTTTATTCCAAGCCATTTTGTATGCAATGATGACTAGTTGAATGAACAGGTAATCATGATTGCTGGCATGAAAATTAGTCCTCAGTTGTGAGTTAAAATACTTGCTTACTCCTTTTGTTTATGCACTTGTTATGTCCATCTTTATATTTATAATTGTGTTCTGGAATGACCAAGAATCATAAAACAATCATTGTCAAATGACAAATGATACATTGTTTAAGGCAATGTGGTGTAGTGGTTAAGAGCATGGGACTGGGGCTCAGAGGATCTGGGTTCTAGTCCCTGCTCAACCATGGAGCCAACTGGGTGACTTTGGGCCAGTCACAGACTCTCAGCCCAACCTACCTCACAGGGTTGTTGTTGTGGGGATAAGATGGAGGAGGAGATGTAAGCTGCCATGAGCCCTTTGTAGGAAAAAGGCAGGATATAAATCACAATATAAATAAAAATAAATAAGGCAGTGCAATTCTGCTGCACACTTACTTGGGGGCAAGACCCATTAAATTCAATGGGATGTACTTCCAAGTAATATGTGTGTGTGTTTGTGCTGTTAATTTTTAAGTATCAACTGCCGTACATTCCAATCAGTAACACTGAGCAGGCCATGGCAACCTATCGCATCAGAGAGATTTTGAGGGCCTTCCTGAAAGGCTTCAGAGATAGGACTCTTGAAGGCTTTGCTCAAGGGCCATGGCCAAGGTTGCCTTCAGGGAAGTGTGGGAACAGCAGTGGGGTGGAAAAGAACTGTGTCATTTGCCCAGCCTGTATTTTCTTTCTTTGTAAATGCTTGTGGAGTGCTGTGGGGCTGGACTGCCATCTCCATACTGCCTTGAAAATTAATGGATCAGACCTTGCCAATCCCACCCGTTCCTTTCATATTTCTTCCATCTTGAAACAAAGGGGATCAAGGAGAAATGTTTGTTCAGGTATATCACGTAGGATATGTCGGGCTGGACGAGGACCCCGCTGTTGGATACTGTCAAGGAAATTCCTCTGACAGAACCAGGACAGTGGAGAAGAAAATTTGTTTTCTTCCTGTTTCAGGGGTTTTATTTTTGTTGAAGTTGATTTTTAGTATTGTATCATTTCTGCAGATGCCATTCACAATTTGTTTTCTAGTCATTAACAAAACCAGTGAATAGGTTAATCATGGTTGTTTTCACAAACTATTTTTTTTTAAAGCAGAAACAATGTCAGTAATGGAAGCTTAACCACAGCATAACTGTGTGCAGAGAAGTCTTTGTTTCAAGTCTTAACCTCAAGCATGGCCTGCCTTGTGCCTTGGTACAGTCTCTTCTCTGCAGCCATTCCCATCTGCAATATAGGAATAAGAATACTGGCATATCTTACTGGGCTGTTGTAAAGATGATTAATATAATGTCATTTAGAATGTGTGATAGAGAACTATTCTGTATTATTATGTACTAAGTGGCACAGTGTCAGATTAAGACTAGAGGAACCTGGGTTCCAATTCTGAGCTGTCAGATTGACAGAACGACTTTAGACCAGTCACCATCTCTCCACTGAGTCTTACTTACAGCTTCATGACAGATTATTGCAAAATAATTTATTTATTTTTATGGGCATTTTTGTAATACTGTGCTGTGAGCTACCGAGAGAGCTATGGTGAGGCATACAAATGCGATAAGTAAATAATTAATTAAATTACAAGAATAAAATGGGCTGGGGAAAATAATCACGTAAACTTTCTTGAGGTCCTTAGGAAGATCATATATTTGTTGATGTTGCATTTATATGCTGCCTTTTCCCCTCTTGTGAAGATCCCAAGGTGGCTTACACAGCTCCATTTTATCCTCACAACAACAACCCTGTGAGGTAGGTTGGACTGAGAGGAGTGACTGGCCTAAAGTCACCTAGTGAGCTCCATGGTTGAGTGGGGGATGAGAACCCAGATACTTCAGGTCTTCAGTCTAACACAACTCACTCCTACAAATGCATCCAAATATTCTGCAAGAAGATTCCCATGAATAGGATTTTATACTTGCATATCATATGTGGCAGAAACATGTATAACATTTTGTATTGGAAAATGTCTGTTGATATTTCTTGCTTGTGTCCTTGGGTCCAAATTCAGCTGCTTCGCCTGATTGCCGTATCTCATTGTACAGCCAAGCATCTCTATTTGCTTTAAATGAAAGATCTCTCTCTCTCTTGCTCTTGAACACATAACATTTTTCCATGTGTGTACATTTTACGGCCAGCAACTCAGGCTTATAGAAGCTACATGGATGGTTGGTGAAGCTGAGAAAGGCTGGAGGAGTTTCTCGTACTTACCCCACTAAAAGCTCCCATGTAAGTTCCAGGTACTGGAATCTGCTCTCAGCGGGTGGCTGCCATTTTTCTTTTAGCCTACCTTTTGTCCATTGCCATTTCTCTTGCTTTTACCAGGATGAGCCTTAACACTGGCAGCCCTGAATCCTGACAGCATGGCTGCTAAGCCTAAGCAACCGTGTTCTGGCCTGCAAGTGTCCCTCATAAAAGGAAACTTTGACACTGCTGCTCCAAAAACACCCATGTGAGTCAGAAGGCCCCAGGCTTTGCCTACGCTCTTCCTGCTGTTTGGCTCCTGAAAGCATCGGCCTGGTCACTTCAGCATGTAGATGTGGCTCCAGTAAATGCCCTAACTGGTCTTGTTATTTATAGTTGAGTGGGAGAGAACAGTTTCATGGGTGCTATAATCAAAAGTCCTAAGTGTGTGTCTGGGACTGATGAGGACAGGCTCAGTGCGTGTGTGTTCCTGCAACCAATGGCTTATTTTACTTGTAGTTTAATAATAATGTCAGTTCATGTAACAGTTAACTGTTATTTAAAGTTGGGGCTGTCATCAGTATCAGATGGATTATGAAAAATGTGGGCCACCTCTAGAGTTGGGAAAGCATCTTTCCTTTTCTTAGGAACTAGAATCACATTTTTAGTATCAAGTGTCTACACATTCAGGTCACTGGGTTGTGACCTACTGATTTTTTCCAGAGGAATTCTGTATTGCAAGTTAGTTTTGTTTACCATACTTTAAAAAAAGGCTTTCCCATCATTTTTCAATGACTCACTGATATACTGTAATCTCAGTTCGGGGCATGTTAATGCAGATTTGACCATATTAGGGGGCAAATCATCAGTATTATTTTTCTGAATGTTTTGTTCTGAAAGGCATGTGTTGCAAGATTGATACTGCTGAAAGTGTGCATGTACCAGTACTTGAAACTGCAGATTTTCTGTGCAGTCCAATACCCTGTTGTGTTTACATGCCCAATTATTGCCTTCCATCATGTTTGGAGATTCATCAGTCTCAGTGAGCATGCTAATGGTCAGGGATAATGGGACTTGTGGTCTGAAACATCAGGAGAGCATGAAGATTTAGGCACTAAACACAATGGCGTTTGGGTGTGTTCGGTTGTTCTAGCGGGGGACCAGAATGTCCCTGTCTTGTCCCATTCCCATGACATAGTTTAGGTTGGATCATTAGCACAAACCAGAGTTTGCAATGGTGCAAGTAAAGTTAAGCATCACTCATTACTGGCTTCCTGGTGGCTGGTCCCCAAGTGCCTTTAGATGCATTGGGCTACTCTATTTCAGAACACTTGTTTTGCCACCAGAAGGCCGGCACAGGGGAGCTGAACCCATTTCAGCATGAGGTCCTCCTCCTGTTTCAACAAAACTCTCTGGGGCTGCATTCCAGTGATAGATTGGGTCAAAGGCAAAAAATGGGCAGGGCCGAAAAAGCTGAGTTCTGTTCCCCTGGTATAGAAACTACAAGGAATAGTGGGTTGGTAAAGCCAAGGAAAAACTGAAGACTCCTTGACTTCTCAGCTGCCTTCTTTCTGAAAGAGAGCATGTTCAATGAGAGCCAGTGTAGTGTAGTGGTTAAGAGCACATGACTGGGACTCAGGTGATCTGGGTTCAAGTCCCTGCTCAGCTGCAGAACCAGCTGGCTGACTATGCCAGTCACAGATTCTCAACCCAACCCAACTCACAGGGTGGCTGTTGTGGGGATAAAATTGAGAGAGCAGCAAGAGACTGTTTTAAGTTGCGTTGGGTTCATTGTAAGAAAAAAGTGGGGTATAAATCGAATGAATGAATGAGGTTTGAGTAGATTTGAAAGTAATGGACTTCTGAAATGAAGCACGGAAGTGTTTGGATTTTATTTAATGAACAGGTGGCAGGATGAAGTAGCAGAGCAACTGTTCTGATGCTCCTTAGTTTGTCTTATTTTCAGGCTGTGCTGCCATTTTCCACTTCACAGTGCTTGCTGTACCTCTTCCGAGGCATGGAAAGAACTGCAATATTGGAATCCATAATCTGGTCAAAGAACTCTGTGTAGTTTGCCTGCCTAGTGCTGCATTTAGACACTCTCTCCCCTTAAATATTATATGAACTTCTGGTGTGTGCATTTAAAGAATAAGAGACATTTAGCTTTGCGTGAGATCAGCATTCTGATTATAAGTCACCAAAGGATTGGGGAGCTATAAACTGAGAATGCTCGCTTGAAAATAGCAGAGTTGCCAAAGGAGGGCTGTATGGAAAGGATAAATCACTGGTTAGCCAAAACAGAAAGTTCCTTTTCCAGAATGATTCAACTTAGTTCCAGAAAGCCTTTTCTCTAGTAAGAATTATTCATTATTTTTATTTTAACTATATTTCTCCTGTTCCACAGCCAAAAAGGGAGTTTCTGGAGTGCTATATAATCAGTCAACCATAAGGCAGGCCCTGCTCTGAGGTGTAAAATTTAAAAAGACACAACAAAAAGGCACAGAGAAGGAAGAGGAGAAAATTAAGTTGCTTGTGGACAGGCCTGGTGGAATGGCCCAACTTTCCATCTCATCTCTTGGTGTGGTGAAGCTCTGGTATTCCTGTTGCTGGCTACTATCTCGTTCCCTTCCAAGTCCAAAAGAAACCCCATTCAGCTCCCTGAGGTCTGAAAACAATAGTTAAACAAGGGCATGGGCTCCACAATAGTAAATCAAGGAGCTGAGTTTTCCAGAATCACCAAATATCTCAGGATTAAATCCAAAATAGCGGATTTAGATGGCTTTTATGTGTTAATGTTGCTTAGCCTTGTAGGCACTTTCTCAGAGAGGTTTTAACCTGGTCAGTGGGCATCTCTACTCTAAATCCCATGTTGCTCCGTTGCTAAAGTGAGGCATCAAATGGCTTTGAATTACATTGATCAAGATTTCCATCCTGACCACCCAGTGCAGGTAGAGTGTGTCCAGTCTCCTTTCTGTAGTTAGGATGGAGATCTAGACTGTGCTGTGGCATGTTAAACATTTCCTCCTTCCACGTCCTTCTGTGAATTCCCCATCCCATCCTTTTCTGAGGGTTTACTCTGGGTCATTTAAAATATGCAACAAACCATGGCTAACCAAACTAGGTTGTATTCACCTGGTCCTGATCATTGTTGGAAACTTCAAAGCTGGCTGTGGGTAGTAGGGTATTTGCCAGGGTATTCTGATACACATACACAGAGTGCTGGTTTTGAAAAAGAAAGGAGCAAGGAGTTCAGGAATTAGGAATGAGTGAGTTGGTGGCACTTTCATAATCTCCTAATTATGGGCTTCCATTCAGGCTTTATTGCACTCACTAACATAACTGTGTTTACCATCCCATTGATTTCTTTTTGACTTGCTTACAAGTAAGTGCCTTACAGATTGCGGCAGCCTTGCTTGTACCAGTGCTGGCGAGGGGCTGCAAAAGCACGTCTGCTAAAGTTCACGGCTTAAAAGGAAGATTCCTCTTTACCACCACATGAGCATTTGTTCAGCTTTTTTGGAATATTTATCAAGTGACTTTAATTTTCAAAATTCTACAGGTTCATGGGGCTGCCACCAAAATAGTCCATTTTGGAATGGTCTCTCTAATTATTTTTCTAATTTTTTTCAGTACTGCTTGTGAGAACGGAGCTGTAAGTAATGTTTTTAAAACTCACTTTCTAATGTCTAATGTCATTTTATTTTCCTTGCTTCTCAGCTTTTTGACCATGTTGCTGAATGTTTAGGAGATTTCATGGAGAAACAAGAAATCAAGGACAAGAAATTACCTGTGGGGTTCACATTTTCTTTTCCGTGTAGACAATCCAAACTAGATGAGGTAAGAGCACATCATCACTTTATTACTTTATAATAGGAACCTTGGAAACCCCATAAAACCATCAGACCATGGGGTCTTCCAACATGATACTGTCAAAACTGACTGGCGTTGGCTTTCTGGGGTTTCAGGCAAGATCTTTTCCCGGCTCTACTTGTGGATGCCAGGGCCTGACCGAAGGATGTCGGAGAAATCCAAAACAGGTTCATGTGACTTCAGAGTCCCGTGAATTCAGCCCATGGGCTCTGTGCTGGCCTGACAACTTCTGAGCAGCACAGATTGCATGGAACTGTGAACTGACTTTATCCAGAATGGTCCGCTGTGTAGCACTGAGAAAAACATGCATGTTGCACACTGGCAGCAGTAATATAAGTAACATACTTTTCCAGGAGAAGAGAGGGATCTGATTACATCCCTGAGTGGACAATGGAATGAAAGATTCCTGTTAATCTGCGAAACATGCATGGAGCAGATTAAATAAACTCTATACATCCCTAGTTTTTACCTTGAGCATGAAAAGAAATGCTGCAGAATAATGAGGTACTTGGAGTACTAGATGGTATTAAACTAGCTAGGAGTACTAGATGGTATTACAATAATTAGCTGGTTTATCTTGTTGCTGTTGTAGATGATCAGTAAATAATTCATTGTTAATTTATAGGTTAGGCAGAGTGGCCCCGTGTTTAGAGTGTTGCACTGGGGAGACTTGGGTTCCAATTCTCCTCCTGGCTGTATAGCTCACTGGGTTTCACTGGGCTTAAACTGGCTCTCAGCCTAACCTACATCATGTTGTTGTTGAGAGAATAAAATAGAGAGAAGGAGGATCATGAATCGGGCTCCTTGGAGGAAAGGCAGGATATAAGTGCAACCAAATACAAATATACCTGTGTGATTGTGCACACTGGGCCACTGTATATTACCTTTGCTGTCATATATGGAAGCTGCCAACCCATCCCCAGCTGAATTAAAACCAAACCATTTGTTGATCTGGGCACGTGCAACATTGCCATGCTATGGGGGTTAGAAAGTGCAGGTCTGCCTGGTACCTGGGCAAAGCCGCTGGGAGATCCATATTCATCACTTGAGCCAAAATTCATGAACACCGCTTTAAAGGTAATTGACACACTTTAATGACTGTATAGCTCTGAAGCGGAGAGTCAGCAGCTTTACTCAGGTTACTTCCCCACCTGTGAACATGGGCGAGTTCACATGCAGGAAATTTTGCAGCACTGCCATATGCAAGAAATTGTTCTCAGCTAATTTTGGGAAAAGACATGAAAAACTGGAATCCTGACTGAAAGGAATGTGAGGGTATCATTTATTCTGGGTAGCATTTGTTTAAATGGTTTGCTTGAATTTGCCAGGGTATTCTGATAACCTGGACAAAACGCTTCAGAGCAAGTGGTGTTGAGGGAGCTGATGTAGTTCAGTTGCTGAACAAAGCAATCAAGAAACGTGGGGTAAGAGTGGCTTTTATTTTCATAACTATTTTATATGTGTGCATAAATGAACTGACTGATTTGTTACTTACAAATGTTGAAGGTTGTCCATACCAGACTGGAATGATTAGACTAGAGATAATTTCATGGTATCTTCTTTCTCAGCAAAAGTAAGAACCAAGAAAATGTTCATACTTATGAGTCCCGGTCCTTTTGCCGGGGGCCCTTCCAGGGAATATTATATTCCAAATATATCAAAGAACATTCAAAGGCATCCAGCTGCCCTTGATTCAAACAGTCTTCTTGGAGGTGAAATAGACTGTTGTGAATTCTGTCACCCATGAATATTTACTTGGAGGTAAGTTCATTTGGGTCCCGCACTGAATGAGAGTTACTGCCAAGAAAGTGTGCATAGGTATATAAACTAAGGTAGCATTGCATAGTGAGATAAGTATTCATTTCTCTGTTGAAAGCATTAGATAGTCTTCAGTCCATTGCATTATAGGAGGTGAATGTTTATCCTTCCAGGGTTCTAATATCAGCCTTTAGCTGTCCAAATAGTTCAGAGAACCCATTTATACTAACCATTTGCTAATTTCCATGAAGTAGATAAATAATTTAAAAGAGTGCACATATTATTAAATATTGACGTCTGTTCTGGTGCAAAATGTATCCATATTTTAACATACATAGGAAATCACAATGCTGTGTTCTATCTTAAAAGCAGGCTTCCTTGCTTGCTGCACTTGCTGAGTAAGCTCATACATAACAGTAATCTTCCAAATTTTATCAACCCATTTCTATTTTTGATAGCTACTTGGAAGATTTCCGATTATATGTCATACATAAATTTGTGGCTGATCCCAAAGTGAGAAGGGATGTGTGAAAAATGCATTTCAGTTCGTTTTTTAAATCAGGATTTGCCCAACTTACATTTCTAGGACCAAAAATATGCTCGAATTGGTCTAACTCCATATCAAGTTTGCCCTGTGATTTGTGGGCCCAAGAAAATGCATTCACTAGCATGCATACTTTTGAAAAATGCACACAAACACATTTTAAGCAGTGGAAGAAGAATGTGCACAGTTCAATTACAAACATGGTGATGTGTACATTTGAAAATACGCCCTTATTGAAATATAATTTTGAAATGTTGATGCAAAAAAGGGAAAAAAACTTTCCAGGTGGAATTTGGAGAACATTGACAAATTCGAGCTTGGTTTGCATACACAGCCCCCAAACTGACTTGTACTTGTACTCAGTAATGAATTGAGTCTGATTTTAGGGGAGAAGAAATGAATGTTAGACTTAAGATGAACTCCCTTTGTCTGTAGTAATAGGGGGAAATAGGAAAATAGAATCTGTTAGCTGAGCTAACAAAGCTCGCTTGGTAAACAGTATTTACTGACCTTTTGTGTCACAGTGAAAAGTAATATATGTAGATCAAAATATATTAATAATATTGTCTGACACAAGAAATATTCTATTTCATTTTAAAGGATTATGATGCAGACATTATGGCAGTTGTCAATGACACCGTAGGGACAATGATGACCTGTGGATTCGATGACCAACGTTGTGAAGTTGGCTTGATTATTGGTATTAATATTTGATTTCTTTGCTGAGCATATGGGATGTTGGCATTTTTTGTTTTGGTTTAAGTCGATTGATGAATTTCACTCCCTTCTTTTAAGGTACTGGTACAAATGCCTGTTACATGGAAGAAATGAGACACATTGACCTGGTGGAAGGTGATGAAGGACGCATGTGCATCAATACCGAATGGGGAGCATTTGGAGATGATGGATTATTAGAAGACATCCGGACTGAATTTGACAGAGAAATTGACCGAGGTTCCCTTAATCCTGGGAAGCAACTGTAATTGAGATGATGTTACTGTTGATACTGACCCTAAGTAGTCCAGTCTAAAATGAATCCTTTGATATGCTATATTTTAACATAGGCTTTTTTTGACAACTGTATAGTGGCTTATTAAGCTGAAATATGCACAGACTTTTCACTCATAGAAACAGAGTGAGTCAGAAGAGGTCTCCCAGGCCATCTAGTCTGACCCCCCGCTTCAGCCGGGTCCGCTCATGACACGCCTACCATGTGCATGTCCATGCATGCAGCCAGTCTAGTCTGTTCTTTGTAAACTAGGAACGTTTAAATTTATCATAATTTTCACTTTCTGTTGAACCAGGAAACCAGTTTCTGTTGAAACCAGGAAACCAACTCTGGAACAAACCAGGGTCTTCAACCACACTTTCAAGTTGATTTAAGATCCTGGTTTGTTGTGTAGCTTGGTGGTGATAGTTATGTGGCTTAGATGGCAGCAGTAGCACCTGATGGGCAGGGTTGCCAGTTGTGCAACTGGCACTCTGCGAGCATTTGTGTACTTCCTCTAGGCGTGGCTTGTTTTTCCAGACCTGGCCAAGCACGAAAGGGAGTCTGTGGATGCCCGAGGGACCCACTCCTATTTCACGGTGCCCCTGAGAGAATTGAGATGATGATACTTGGACTGAGCTTCCTCTTTCCTATTGGTCTATATTTGTGGTCCTGTTCAAAGGCCCATGAGTGGGAAACATGTGAGCTACATGCAACTATCACCACTCTCAAAAAACGAGAATGGTGGAGAACTGGTAATTTGCTGCCAAAGTTTAGTGGCAAACCACTGTGGAAGTTCACTAAGGACAGCTTTAGCTGGTTTGCAAATGAATATTTATTTATTTAAAAAATTTCCATCCCATCCTTCACCCAGGATCTCAGGGCAGTGATACCAGAAGAATAATTTGTTTTCCCTTCTGTGGCAAGGGTGTGAGCCGCAGGGGACTGGAAGTGGAAATTGACTTGAAAGCGGAACAGAACTTTCCTGTCTGCTTCCTGCTGCCCCCTGGTGTTCCCTGTCCAAAACTGCTCTAAAGGTTATGGGTCATTCCGGACTGGATTTGGGAGTGCAGCGGAGAGGAGCTGCAGCAATAAAGGGGAACTGGCAGAATTTGGGCGACCCTCCCCCCTGAATATGTGGGAGTGCCTTTCCTCTATGCAAGGGATTTTCCTGATCCCACACATTGTCCCCACCACATTATATCCTCTGAGTGGTCATGTGGAGATAGTTTAGGCAGAGAGGAAAACACTTCCTCAGGTCCACAGACTACGCTGAATGGCTGAATAAAAATTTGAGCCCAAAGGCTCTAAGTCTGCAGATTATTACTGAGAATTAAGAGTCACTGTGCTTGTGGGACTGGGCTACATTTGTGTAAATGTGAGTGTTGAAACTCATTGTTTGATACGTCCTTTTCAGGTTTGAGAAGATGGTCAGTGGCATGTATATGGGTGAACTGGTCAGGCTTATCCTTGTTAAAATGGCCAAAGAAGGTTTACTTTTTGAGGGGCGAATAACTCCTGAACTTTTAACCAAAGGAAAAATAGACACTAAGGATGTTTCTGCCATAGAAAAGTACGTACTTTTTGAAGTTTTTTCTAAGTTTCCAGGTTGGCATGCATTCATGTGATTAGAAGTACAGAATGTCTGTGGTTGGGTTCTGACAGCGACTCCTTGAGAGGCTTTTAAGAACAGTGCTAGGAGAGAGGATGGCGTGTGCAGGTGGCAGGGAGGGAAATGAATGATGGTGGTTTTCACAGCACCTGGGGGTGGGGGCTGTCGGTTGAATGCCCCAGCTTTAAAAGAAAAACTTCAGCAGAACTGTGCTTAATTGCTCACCCCAGTCATTTTCCAGTTGCAATGGAGCACCCACTGCCCAGCTCCAGCACAGTGGCATTTCAGTGCCTCTTAGAAATCTTGTTAAATACAAATCTAATAAATATTTTTAAAAAGTAACTGCTTCGGAGGCTCCCATTATCTACTGGTGTCACTCAAGTCTCCCTCACACTCTACTCTGGGTTCCTGGGACCCTGGCGACCCACTGCTTGAAGGTACTATTATAATTCATTCCCAGGTACTTGTAGTACTTCCCCTTTAATGAGTAAACTGCCGTCAGATCAGCTTTCCCCAACTTGGTGCCCTCCAGATGTTTTGCACTTTGACTCCCATCAGCTTAAGTCTGCATGACAAGTGGTCAGGAATCCTAGGAAATGTAATCTGAAGCATGTGGAAAGTCTCACGTTGGGGAAAGCTCACCTCATTGTGAGCGTTCAGAACGTCTTCATATCCGGTTGTGCTCTTGCAATGTCTTTTCAGGAGCAAGGAGGGCTTGCAGAAAGCCAAGGAGATTCTGACGCGTCTCGGGGTTGAGCCCTCTCATGAGGACTGCATCGCCGTCCACCACGTGTGCACCATCGTTTCGTTCCGCTCCGCAAACCTCGTGGCTGCCACTCTGGGGGCCATCCTGAACCAGCTACGGGACAACAAAGGAGTGGGCCGTCTCCGCACGACCGTGGGGGTGGACGGCTCCCTGTACAAGATGCATCCACAGTAAGATCCCGAGCAGTTTCTATAATTACTGCTTGGCACCTGCTAGGGACCATCTCTTGCAAAGGTCAGCTATGCAGCACGTCGAGCTGGCATTTGGAGATGGAGCCTGGGCCTGAGCTGAAGAAGCGAAGCCCTCGCGTTAGATGAAAGCGGGTGGCTGACCTCACAGGCTGGGACTGTGGGAAGCAGTTCAGTGAGCTGGGCTGGGGGCACTGCTTACAACACGCACACGTGGAGCAAACGGACCTGGAGCACAGCAGATCGTGCGCGCAGCTATTGCTTGCGTGTGGCAGTGAGAATGGCCTCGTTCACACACTACAATTACCTGGATTTGAATGCTGGGTAGCTCCAAATGAGCATGAACAAATGCATGTGTTGGCTTCTGGCCGTTTTGGCTATGATAAATAACTCAGGGACATTCTCTGCTAATGAGTTCAAACTCTAGTTGTTTGTCCATAATTCCAGGATTAAACATCACAGTAAACAATTCAGGGACAGAGTGTCCCTGGGTAGGGTTTCACAGCAGGAGAGGGTGGTTATGCAAGAACCAGCACATTCACTCCCCTTTCATTTTCCACAACCCAGTTAACAAACCATGGGTTGCTGATAACATGTGAGCTGAATCAGTGCCTGTAACCTGCAAATACGCTGGCATACAAGAGAATAATTTCCAGCTGTGTGCAGAGTGATACTGAAAAATAGCTATGGAATAGTGGTACCTGTACCTGTAGTACTGAAAATTATCCCCTCACATACGTGTAGAGGAGAACATGTGTAGGAAAAACTTCTTAACTTTTGCTTATGACAGGCTGGTGCCTTCTAAATATTTTTGGATTGTAATTTCCGTCAGCTTTAGACAGCATGACTAATGATCATGAATGCTGGATATTTTAGTCCAAAACCGGGAGGGTACCATGTAAGGAAAAGCTGGTTTACGCAATTCATGTTTTACTTTGGACAGTCTGGGTTTATAATATATCCAACATAAGAGTGTCCTGTATTCAGATATTCCAATTTAATTCCTCCACAAATGCAATTCAGAACTAATGGAAAAAAAATCTATCTTGAATCATTTCAAATCAAGTCAGTGAAAGAGACAGGAACTGAAAATTAAGCATTGCAATTAAGGTTATTTCAGTTCGGTTGATAAATAAGTCATCTTTTCACTGTAATCTTTTCATCTTTTCACTTTTGGAAGCAATTGCTTTCATTAGTGCTTAGTTGCTTAATGCTTTCACTTAGGATTGCAGCCTTTGACCTGTGTCCTGTGTCAACCTGCTTTGCAAGATAGAGAATGTGCTAATTAAGGTTTTGTTATTTCATAAAGCCTTGGGTTAAGTAATCCCTGAACAACTCAGAATGGCTGGGTTTGGACGTCACAGATTAGGACAATGAAAGGTTATTAAAACTTACATGAAAGGAACTATGTCAGCTTTAACCACCTGAGAGTCAGTGGTGTGGTTAGAGAGGTGGACTGGCATTTGGGTGATCCCAGTTCAGCCATGAACCTCACTGAGATAATTTTGGTCCAGTCACTGACTTTCAGCCTAACCCACTTCACAGCATTATTGTGAAGATAAATGGCTAGGTCTGCTTGGAGGAGAAGGTGGAATATAAAAGTATCAAATAAATACTAGCCCTCATTCTTTTTATTAGCTTAAATCATTTTTTCTGAAAACAATGCTGAATGTCTGTGCCCCTTTGTCCTGTCGTGCTGTCATGGAAATGCTAATGAAGGCTTCCTCAGCCCCGTGCCTTCCAGATATTTTGGATTTCCACTGCAACCAGCATGGCTGATGGTCCGGAATTCCAAAACATCTTGAGAGCATCAGATGAGGAGGGCTGTGTTAGTCTTTCCCTTCTACCCTTATTTAATGGATTTACTGCTGTTGCTAACTGTAGATAAAATGGAGTTCCTTTTGGCAAGATGGAGGAGGTTGTGCTTGAACCCACCCATTTTGTCTTTTATAATGTGTAATTTGATTGGACCTCAGAGCAGAATAGGAGTTCCTCCTTTCTCCCCACCAATAGCTAATGTTGTTCCCTCCCCTTAGAAGCAGGGGCTCTTTTCACATTACCCAATATGTGTGGGTCTCAGTTTTGCCACAAGTGGCTCCCATGTGGTAGGATCATCTTTAAATGCTGCAGGGGTTTGTGTGTGGGCAGATCGCACATGTTTAGTTTATTTTAAAAACTACAATACAATTATCCCCTCCAAAAAAAACACCCTCACCATTAAAGAAGGGGAAAAGGAACAAAACTGAAATGTAATTAGTGTTACTGGCAGACTGCATGTGTCCCATGGATTTGGCATCCTGCCACTCTTCTCTGGTTTCACCTTTGGGATCAATACTAGCTTCTAAGTAAGCTTGTTAAAGGTTGAGTCGATAAGTTGCATCAGTCTGCATCTGTTCAAGTGTTGGTGCCCTACTCTGGTAACAAGTGGCAATTACTGTTGTGCTGCTGAATGTGGTCCTGGAGTAAGTAGCTGATCTGTGGAGTGGCAGTTGGGTGGAAAGGCATATGTGCAAATGAGTGGGCTGGGTAGTGGCACCCTGCTCAATGCCGTTTACATGTTTTGCTGGGTGATATCTGTAGACGGGACAGGTGCTTCCTGCTCAAACTGGCCTTGTCCTTCCCTTGAGGATGACCAAGCTGGCTTTGGAAGGAACCGTGCCCTTCACTCTACCAACATAATTGCTCTGGTGTCATTGGAATGGTGTGCTTCCTATATTCATCAGCTAACAATTATGCTCAAATAACATCTGACTTAAGTTACATTGTCCTGTGCGCTTGTATCATGGGGTGTTGCTGGCTAATGTCTGGCAAAGTACTGTTGCGCTGGTACAGCCTTCCTCAGTCTGTTGTCTTCCCGATGTGGTGGAACACAGCTCCCATATTGTTCAGGCAGATGGCTTGGAATTGTGGAGATACACTTCAGCACATCTGGAGGGCACCAGCTTGGGGTAAGCTACACTAGATGGACCCTCAGTCTGACCTAGTGTCGTATTTGTGACCTGGCAGCAGCTGTCCATGCCTTGGCAATGTCATGGTTAGGCTATAGCAGGGGTGGCCAAATGGAGGGAGTTGCATGCAGCTCGCTGAGTTTATTTTGCAGCTTGCTGTTCACCGCTGCAGGTGGGTGCCTGCGTGTCACCACCCACCAGCACCTACTTGTGGTTCTCAGACATCTGACATTCACCATATGAGGTTCTTCTGTTGAGCAAGTTTGGCCACCCCTGAAGGTTGTCAGGAACTGGAGTGAGATGTGACGGTTTAGGTGGTCAGACAGAGGATCATAACAGGATCGTATCTTAATACTGCGAGAGGGCTAGCCAGTCATTTCCCAGCCTCGAAGTGCAGGTGTTAATGTTTAAAGTGCTAAACAGCTCATAACATGGTCATTGGGGGACTATTTTGGTACGAACCTTCTCGGTTATGAAGGAGATGCCCTTTTAAAGCACTTTTATTTGCAGAGACGTATGTTGATCACATGCAAAAGGGCTTTTTTCTCTATTGCTCCCCAACATCATAGCATGCTGCTTGTGGAGTTGTGACTGATCCCCATTCATTCAGGATTCAGGAAGGGGGTCAAGATGCATCTTTTTACCCTGGCTTTTATAATGGTGGTTTTGGTTTTAAAAATAGTCTTTAATGGTTTTACTATCTCTTTATTTGTTTTGTTGTAAGCTGCCTTGTTTTTCCAGAAAGATAACATGGCAAATGTTTTAAAACCTCTGTGTTAAAGAAAATTTACGAGCAGTTGTTTTCTTCCTGTGTGCAGATACTCCAGACGTCTGCACAAAACAGTGCGTCGCTTGGTGCCCGACTGCGATGTGCGCTTTCTGTTGTCTGAGAGCGGCAGTGGGAAGGGTGCTGCAATGGTGACTGCTGTCGCCTATCGGCTGGCAGAGCAGCACCGGCTGATCAATGAGACCTTGGCGGAATTCAAGCTTACCAATGAGCAGCTCTTCCAGGTGAAGAAGAAGATGCGCAATGAAATAGAAGCTGGTCTCAGAAAGAAAACGCACGACCACGCAAAGGTCAAAATGCTGCCCACCTTTGTCCGCAGTACACCTGATGGGACAGGTAACTCTCTAGCTCCTGAAGTGACAATTTGAACTGTTGTTGCCTTGTTTCCATGTTGCAGAATGAAGAAGCAGGCCAGTTTCTGAAGCTGGTGTCTACCGATAGGAAGCACACACTTCCTGTGTCTGTTGTTACTAGTTTGCTTGCTGATAAAACATTTTAAAGAGTAGCAATTCTGACAGTTAGCAATGCTAATTTTGTTTATTTAAAAGACCACGTGCTGCTTTTTTAGCATGTGTTCGAAGTGACTTGCAAATGCAGGGAAATAATTAAAAATAAAATCTCAATTAAAGGAAACAAAGAAAATGGGGAAAATAACTGGAAAATACTTAAGCCAATGAATACAATTGCTGTAGGGCAGTGATGGCCCTATAGAGGGCTAGATAGAGTCACTGAAGCAGTCGAGGACAGGAAGGCCTGGTGGAATGTTGTCCATGGGGTCGCGATGGGTCGGACAGGACTTTGCGACTAACAACAACAACGAGTGATGGTGAACCTTTGAGAGACCAAGTGCCCAAACTGCAGCCCAAACCCTGCTTATTTATTGCAAAGTGCCAACACTGCAATAAAAACTGAAAACAGGTTTTAGTTTAGAAAAAACAACTCACATTCACCTTGGCAGCGCGCTGACTGGCCATCTGAAAGCTCGGACTAGTCACGGCAAATGAGTCGCGACTTGTGATGTCAGCACTTGGCACCGCTACACCTTTCCAAGAATGCGTATGGCTCCTTCGTGCGCTGTTATCTGATACTTGGCTTCTGGGGCGACTTGGCTCGTGTGCGGACAGAGAGGGCTCTGTGCAGGTTCGCCACCACTGCTATAGGGGAAATGCTATATGAAAAATTTAAGTTTTATTGCCCTTTCAGAATGTTAGCTGAGCTAACTTCTCTTAGCAAACACCCCCATTGAGCTCCTGAAATTCCGCTGAATTGAAAGAATGTTTTCAGATCACAAGCATTTTTGATAAGGGTATTTGGAAGGAAATTTGCTTAGTCCCAATGGATTTTTCATGTGGTAGTCCATTTGTTCTCTTTCTCCCTAAATGAAATGAGTAGAAAAATGCCTGTTTGTCCATTTACTACCTTTCCCTCCTGATAATTTTGTGCAGTTCAAACACAGATTCACACTTAGATCAAAAGATTGAATTGGCATTTCTTCCAAATAGAAGAATTGGCATTTCTTCCCCTTCCTTTAAGGGGAAGTGGAACAGCAGCACCACCTGCTGGTGGATGTTCTGCATGTCATGTGTCCAGTCAACTGCATGCACACACTTCCAGGCGACCCAGCTTCTGTTTTCTTTCAAGAGA